ATTATATATTTATTGAAAATACTGTATAATCTCAACATATGTCGGAAGGAAGTGACAAAAATTCTCATTCTTCTATACAAATCATAATAATATTATAGTACATAATATAATACAAACTTTGGCAACTTACATTTTTGGCAAATAAATTTACTTTTATTTTTATAGTCATTAGAAATTATAATTTATAATTCTAGCTAAATATTTAATTACAACATAATAAACTTTACAATAACTAGTAATTAGTGTACAAATAGGAGTTAAGCGAAAATTTAAACGAATTGCTCGTTAAGACGATTAGATTCATAATAATTTGGATTTTGATTGTAATTATTTGAGTGAAATCTGAGACTCTCGTCGTTGTCCGCCTCATTAGACTGGCATTGGATTAATGACAGCAATTCATGCCTGCGATTCTCATTACATGCATAGCGAATGAATATCGCAATCAATAGACAGAATCCACAGAATAATAAAATGAGAACAATTTCTTCGATGAGAGCACTGGTATGTTTGGAAGTAGCCTTCGGGTCTATGAAGTAATATTTAATTATTGTAAACAAAACGATTAATATGAGATTAGTTATGAGCGACACTGTAAGGCAGTTGACAGGGATGTTGAGTCGACACGAATCACAACATAGCAATTGAGTCTCACTTTCCGTATCGTTATAATAAGCACCAGTAGTCGATGTGACAACAGTTTGCTGTTCATTCTTAAACCGTTTTGATGGATACAGTGGATGTAGTGGTTTAATGTACTCACCAGTGATCGGGTCATATGGATGGTATATATTTGGATACACATCCAGATATGGATAGTTTGGATTCTGGTTGTATTGAGCGGGTATTGACTCGAACTGATAGCCATAGGATTCTTGCGAATTGTGCGGAACACTCATTGCCTCCATTGCTTCAAACACACAGAATAGTTGAACTGATTTTAAAAGCAAAGAATAGGAGTATATCACCGACTTTTCAGTCAAAAGATAAAATCATTATTTTTGGCACAAAAAAACTAAAATTAATTTCAAGTCTTTTCGCACAAAAATCACATTAAAGTGTGAAGAAGTCTTGTAATCGAAAGTTAATGTTATCTTATTTTTTGGGCGAAAACCATATTCGACTCAACAGTTTTGCCAAATAAGCGAAACAAACGCTTTAGTGATGCGTTTGGAGAGATAGTGGAGAGAGAGTTGTGTTGTGAAGATAGGGATGACTTTCAGACTCTCTCTCCAACTCTCACACTCTCTATACTATACTATACTATATCTGAATCTGTGTTTCGCACAAAATCTTATTGATTGTGGAGATGACGGGCGCCAACAATCCAGGCTATGCTATGAGTTCTCCTTTGATTTCCTCAAATGCAATATATTTTTGTCATCTCTCTCTCTCTCTCTCTCTCTCTCTCTCTCTCTCCACCACCACCACTCTTTTCATATAAAACAGATTTATAGGATTCGCTTCATTACTGGAATGAAATCATTTTTATTTTATTATCCTTTTTAGAGAAAATACGATTCAAAAGCAGAGGCACTGTCTATAAAAGCTGTGAAAACTTTTTGAAATGTGTATAAAAAAGCTTTTAAGATGTTATGCAAAGCATGTGCTACTGTTTGTATAGAAGTTTAATATTGTTTCCAAATGAGTCCATTCTATGCGATTCTATGCAAACACTGAATTGCTGTGAATATTGCAATGCGTTTATTCATGTGAGCACTGAATCACAGAATTTCACACAAAATGCAAAAGCATTCACTACTCTATAGATTATGACAATTCTTTCAATGAATAATATGACAAGAAATAATTTTCGTGAAATTCATAATACAGATTCTGTATTGTAGTACTTTATACTATTGTTATTATGATATTAGTACTGTATACTGACTTGTGAGTATACCATTGTTATATTTAGGCATATATTTAGTGCTTCAAACCTTTATTCATTGAAATACAAAATACTGTATAAGTTATTACAGAATTTATAACTTTCTGTCAAATTTCCAATAAAATATCATTTATAATTTAAAAGAATATTGCAATTTGCAATATAAGCAAGCAACAATCCACTCGATCTTTAATTTAGGTGTTCCTTACAAATGACAAAAATTTTAAACGAATATTATATTCAGAAATACTGTAGTTGTAAGATATGAAATGACCAAGGATATAACCCATAATTTTTAAAAGCTTCCAAATGTGCGATCCTTTTGAAAGACCAGCTCTACTCTACTGTCGGGCCCTAACATCCAACTCAACCAAACAAACCATAATCTCATGATTCACTCAATTATAACAAATCATTTGAATTCATTTCTTAAGAAATGCATTCATTTGTGAAGCAAAACCTATTCATGCAATCAATGATGCAATGCATGGCATGAGGGAAGAGTAGTGGACTACTGGGCACCCCATCCCACACCCACTCCCGACCCATCACTCACTCCCTTGCATACCGTGTCTCTGATGGGAGCGGACACTGGACTCAGACTTATGAGTGATAATCATTGGTAATCTCTTCCCACAAAATAGCTATAGTTGTGAACCAATTGCTATGAATTATACCCTTAAATACAATGAATTCATTGAATGAAATAACGGGCAAAGCATTTGTATTGATAGCCATTTAGCCATTAGTCTAATCAGTAGACTCTAATGCAGTCTTATATGCCATCAATAATGTGCACAAAAAACATTCAACTTATAGCCCCTTAATGTTAACCACATATAGACTGACACATCATTTATAGACATATTTATTGTGGTATTCATTGGTTTGGGATTCAAAACACAAATATTTTTCACCACATTTAGAGCCCAAGACGTGGACTCCGGAGGAATGGATGTGACGGACGTGTGTGAGAGTGTGTTGGAAGTGAAGGACTTCATGGAGTGCTTAAGGGATGAGAACTCAAGACTTCGGCGACAGTTGTGTTTCGCCCAGAATAAGACGTGGACTCCGGAGGAATGGATGTGACGGACGTGTGTGAGAGTGTGTTGGAAGTGAAGGACTTCATGGAGTGCTTAAGGGATGAGAACTCAAGACTTCGGCGACAGTTGTGTTTCGCCCAGAAGTGTATGGATCTGTTCCTCAGATACAGACACTGTTTGACGGGTTTCGCCAACAATTGTCTTTGCGATCAAAACTTCGATAACCAACTCGTGTTCAACCAATTGGAGGACGAGTACAGACATGTGGAGGACGAAGACGTGCAGTTGTCTGCACACGATGTCGATGACTGTCTTGCCAGTAGTGTTACGTTCAATAGAAACGAGACACCAGTCGATACCAACTATAAGATTATGGAATCCATTGGCGGAGACCATGATATCGATGACCACCAGACCAATGATGAAGATATCAATTACAGTGAGTCTTATTTGCAGTCATTTAGTAGTGATTTGTATTTTGGTTTGTTTGGTGTCTTAACTGACGACTGGTTTGTATTACAGATAATGTCTTATTAAACAAATTCAGTAAACGAATGAAGACTTTGAATGAAGACGAAGACTATAGACTCATGTATATGAAGACCACTGAAGACAGTGATTGTCAACAGTTTCGGTGCAAATGGTTTAAGTGTGGACTCAGTTTCGACTCCCAGACGAGTCTCTCTCATCACACAAAAGCGGATCACTTCAAGATTAATGACAATTACGATAATTTGCCACAAATTCTTCAGTCGGACGACGAACTGGTCATTGAAACTGATGATGACATCACTCGAAGACATAGTAAGCCTCGCGTGAAGTCGAAACCAGTGGTCGAACCGGAGTTTGTATGCGATTGGATCGGATGTGACCTCGAGTTTCGGTCAAACTTTGACCTCAAGAGACACCAGAATATGGTTCACAGGCGTAGAGAACAGACACTGTCTTCGCTGGGAAGCGGCAACAGATTCATTGGTTTCAAACCATTAACTATACATACGTTAGACGACTCGTCACCACAACAGTTACAACCAATACTTCGTGAAGTGTTTGCGGAAAAGATATTTAAATGTGATTTGTGTGACAAAAGCTATACTCGAAAGGATAGTCTTCGACACCACCAGAGGATTGAACACAACAGCGGCGGTCGTGCCCTTCGTATGCATTACTGCGACCAATGCGAGTACAGCACCAGTAATGGCGGACACATGAAGAGACATATCATTAGGAAACACACGAATGAGAGACCATTTAAGTGCGATCTCGACGGATGCCATCCAGACGTCAAGTGTTACGCAACCCTTGAACAGCTTAAGAGTCACCAAATGAAGATCCACCCAAATATAGACTTTTCTATGGTGTGATCACACATATGGTGACACTCGCTGTACTGTTACCGTACATCACTATTACACTCCAAATGAATTGTGTGTTAGTATTGTATTACCGTAATAGTCATGTCATTCATTCAATTGCTGTAAAATACAAATTCTTTATTTTAAAGCCATTACTATCTCTTTATTCTGTTTTATTTACTTTAAACAAATTAAAATGTTATATAATTTAATTAATTAAAAATCGTCATCGTTTAATTATAACTTATTGACTGAAAAGTACTACCGATTATACCCCTGACCATAAGTTAGAGTCTAACTGTTAGACCTATTGTAAGAATTGCAGTCTAATATGAAACCCAATTCTGAGGTTTAGGTTTTAGTTGCAGTCTGTGGAGTTGGTCGACAATTATGGGGACGATTAGACCGTCAAATGACAATCTTATGTCCATTGAGTGGTGTTTCAGTCCAGAAAGAAATAATTGCCACTTTTCTTCTGTTGAATGTCTTTAATTGAATTCAATTTATTAATTCTCGGCCTAAAGTTTGTCGCATCCCTTCTGAACGTAATGTTCACGGATCTCAAGAATCTATTCATTCCCGACAACAGTGTCTGCGGACTCGTGGCCACAGTCTTGACGGACGGCTGGCCCTCAAACACGACCACTCGATCGGCCAGATATGTGGCCATAAGGAAGTCGTGTTCGACTATAAAACCAGTTTTCTTGGAGTGAAGTAAAAACCTTTTGATGACTTTCGCGGCGACCAAACGCTGCTCGCAATCCAAATAAGCCGACGGCTCGTCAATCAAGTAGACGTCCGCCCGTCGACCCAAACACAACACCAGAGCCACTCTCTGGAGTTCCCCTCCCGACAGGTTCACCACTTCCTGGTCTATAATGTTGTCGATCTGCAGGGGTTTGACAACTTCTGCCTGAAATTGGGGGTCAATGAAGGTGTCACTCATCTTATCCGTCAACAACTTTCTGACATTTCCATCAAATTTTGCGCTAATCTTCTGTGGCTTATAACTGATAGCAAGTGTAGGGCCCGTACTGTCCGTCCCATCTGGTTTGAGATGCCCCGCAAGCATTCGTATGAATGTAGTCTTTCCCGTCCCGTTCTCTCCCAATAAAACAATTATCTCAGACTCAGTGTATGCGCCCGATTGCACCGTCAACTCAAATGCCTGTCCAAATCGCTTAACCATTGTCTGGTACTCATGTCTACGCAATCGCTTCACTTGTTTTTCATCCCCTGTTTCAGACACTTTGAAGTCAAGCGCCGAATCCCTGAACCGCAAGTTCTCTGTCGGATAGTAGCCGTCGAGGAATATATTAATACCTTTGCCGACGGATATGGGAAGTGTTACGACACCATAAGCGCCGGGAACGCCATACAGACAACAGATATAGTCCGACAGATAATCCAAAACAGATAAGTCGTGTTCAACGACAACGACAAACGTGTTCTCTTGGATCAGCTCTCGTATGACTTGTGCCGCTTTGAGCCTCTGTTTGACGTCCAGATAACTGGAGGGCTCGTCAAACATGAAGACATCAGCCCTTTGTATGCATACCATAGCGATGGCAAACCGTTGCAGTTCTCCTCCACTCAATTCACTCACATTTCGGCCGCAAATCTCTGGCGAGAGATCTAATGCTCGGCAGACGTCCTCTTTGTTATGCCTATCATTCTTGTGGTCGAGTAATGCGGACACCACTCCCGACACCGCTTTTGGTATTTGGTCCACAAATTGGCGCTTAATTACAGCTTTCATGTTATCCTTAGATATACGGCTGAAGTAGTTGTGGAGTTGAGAGCCGCGGAAATGTGACACAATTTGAGGCCAATCAGGAGCGTCTGAACCGTAACGACCTGTCGGTGCGATTAATCCATTAAATTATATAATATTTAGGGAATGTACCCAAATATCAATGTCTCACCCAAATTGGGGGTCAGTTTACCGGACAGTATGTTAAGAACTGTCGATTTTCCGGTGCCGTTGGCGCCCACCAAACCCAACACCTGTCCCGCTCTAGGAGTCGGCAATCGATGCAATTTGAAAGCGTTTGGTCCGAACCGATGGGTTGTGTCTCGGCTCAGGTCTGTCGGCACATTCACCACATGTATGGCACCCATCGGACACTTCTTCGCGCAAATACCACACCCGATGCACAAGTGTTCGCTAATCGCAGCGCTCGTATGACTGGCCGTCACTTCGATGCACAACCGCCCCATCCGTACGACTGGACACCACTTCTTGCACTCCTGTCCACACCTTTTGGGCTTACATTTGTCGGTCGAGACGATCGCCAGTCGAGTCAACTTGTCTTCGCTCGCCATCACTTCTGTTGCTTTTAATCGTTTACCACTTCGACAGATGTATGAAATGAAATGAACATGGTCACATTCACTACAACTATAAAACCATTCATCAATTCGTAAACTAAACGTAACTATGATTTCAAGTCTTATTAGAAATGTTACAAAAGTTTTGCAAAACTTTTATTACTTTATCGATAAGTTGTAGCGAATAATGACTCAATAGATGTCTCTCAGAGTCCGTGCATTCAAATCACGTGTAATTGTTTTGATTGAAGACTTGCTTTCATTTGATCCTTTTGGTGACAATTCGTGGCAAACAATGGCCAAAACAATGGGAAAAATCGCGTTAAAAGGGTTGGTATCACTCGTCACGGGAAGCGCTTCCGGATTGGGATCACAAGTGAGACAACGGCTGGCGATGAAGGGCTCCAAAGTGTTGGCCGTAGATATTAACCACAAGACTATCATCGAGGAAGACGTCGAACTCAAGTCTCGGGTGTCGTTCATCACCGGCGATGTCAGTGATGAACGCTTCCTCAACGACTTGTTCACCAAATATCCCAAATGTGATGCTGTGGTCAACTGTGCGGCCGCTTACAGATGTATGACTCTTAAGACAATCCAACGGATCCACTAATCCATTGCTTATCTCCACCATAGCGTACAACTATCTGACCTCGTATTTGGTGTCCAAACAGGCGGTGGATGTGCTGAAGAACAACCCAATCAATGCGTTCGGAGTCCGCGGATGTGTTATAAACATAATTGGTTTACAAGAAAAATACGATCAAAAGTATTTCGACGAACAGGACGTCTTCGCCCAGAAAACGGGACATTCGTTCGACTCATTGGACGACAAAGTGTTGGCGTTGGCCGAAGACATGATCGCCAATCGGATCCGCTCTAACAGTGTGATCGTACCGCCCAATAGTGACCTCAAACTCTTCGCCCAATTGGTTGAGAATATCATCGAAGACCAGTACATCGCCGGACAGATAATCAATATGGAGGACGAGTCCAGACCATACTTGGGAACCGTCAATGATGTCTTAGCCGAGTATCACGTGCCTCCAGAACCCAAAGAATTACCTCTAATACAAGAACCCGTGACACAAATCACTCAACAGTTACCGGAACACAAGGCGAGCACCGGTAGTGTCGGCTCTACTCGTACACCACTTCTTAGGATTGATAATAAGAAACAATAGTTTTTATGTTATTTTTATATAAAACTGATTAAATGTTGTAATTATTATTTATTTCATTATAAATTACTATAAAGCCTTGAGTTTCAATCAGTGATTGTAAATTAGATGTCTGTCCCGCACCTGTACTTCATTTTATTGCAGTCTGTGTTTTACCTGTGAACTGCATGTAATAGTCATAAATTTTACTATTCATCGAGTTATCAACTAATGGTAACAAACAGAAGTTAATCAATAGAAACGTTTTAATAATAAAAATATTGTTTAATAACTTTAAGACAAAGTTTGTATTGATTTCAAAGAATAATATTTTATTTCATTTTATATTCAAAATCAATAGAAAAACATTTTTGAGATTAAGTGCACTTAACGTATAAAATTTGGTACAAAGCTTTGGTTTTTTAAATAAAATCTAAAATATAAATAAAAAGTTATTTAAAAAAAATTTGGCCAAACATTACGACTGTTGTTCAGCTTGTGACTGGCCGTTGGCACCGGTATGTCCGGCACACTGTTTTTCGCAGGCCTTGTCACCGGCACAGTGCTCCTGACCCTCGACCGGCTTCGTGGGCACCGTGCCAAACATTACGACTGTTGTTCAGCTTGTGACTGGCCGTTGGCACCGGTATGTCCGGCACACTGTTTTTCGCAGGCCTTGTCACCGGCACAGTGCTCCTGACCCTCGACCGGCTTCGTGGGCACCGCTCCGGCCTTTTTGGGCACTGGGGTTGTCTGTTGGGTGGCCTGAGTCTGGTCGGCGGCGTCGTTCACTTGTTCCGTTTGGTTCGGCATTGTATGGGATCTGTAGTGAAGGCAACAAATGAATTAATTTTCAACAAAATTAGCAAATTATGTGAATTGAAAAAACTTTTTGCAACGTTTCAACACAATATGAATGAATAGACTTACAGTTTTGCGTTAAGGGTTGACTCAACAAAAGAGTTAAAAACTTTTTCAAACTTTCAAATTGAGGACTGAATTCTATGTGAAAATTGTGAACAAATGCGAGCCCTTTATATACCCTATAATTTTAGGCGTCGAGTCGGACACGCATTCATTAGATAACACGTTTCGCTTCGTTGCCTTTCGGTTGAAATATTTTCAATCATCCAATCATTGAAGAGATAATAAAATTATAGTGTATTTCAAACAATTTAATGAATCATTTTGGCGGAAAACAGTGTACATGTATTTTTGGGGATTAATTACATGAAAAACACGTTAACTTTCGGTTGTATTGAATTACACGAATGTCTGCAAACTTTTATCACAGAAAAAGGAGTTTTCTTACGATCGTTGAGAAAAAGCTAATACTAAGCAGATTTCCGGACCTAATATCTTAAGATAGCAAACTTCTTGAGAGATCGTTAGACCCGCTAATCGACCGGACATTTCTCAGACAACTCACACAAAACTTTTTATCCGATAAGAAATAAGTGGCTTTTTGTTCATTTAGTTATCTATTTTATGACATCAAAGTGTATGTGTATTGCATTACAGTTATAGTGCAATCAATTTGATACCCGGTATCGCAGATGTTATAAATTTCTATTTTTATCAACTAATATTAGTAATATGTGTAGGTATAGTACCTGTACTGGTACAATATACCGGTACTGTGTTACTTAATACCCCGGTGTGGTTACGTGTTATCAGTCATACAAATGTATGACAATTACAGGGGTTGGGCCCCTATATCACCAATGCATTGGCTGTTAAATGATTACGTTTTCGGCACACAATTATTGCTTAAGAATCTTACAGTAAGTCATGTTATCAGTAAAAGTTATAGTTATTTAAACAATAGTTTAGAATTTTGTATTTTTGTTGAGTCAAATATTAGTCTCATTTATATTATAATTATAGTTAACTAACTCGATTCACATCTTAATTGCATTTTAATTGTAATGTCATTTTATACATTACATTGACATTAGTTGCGAAAACATTAGCTGACATTAGCTTAGAGTCGATTACATCACACTTTTTAGGAATTGAAAGTTTTTTTGTGTAAATCTTACAAATAATTACACACAGAAAGAGTTGTGTGTAATAACCGGTATAGACAAATGTCTGTGACTATTACATAATACTGCATACAATACAAACTTTGCAAAAATGTTAAACAGTTGGGGTTCGCCAGTGTGCCCCTAAAATACATTACATAATATAAGCCAAACATAAAATTCATGAAAAATCTGTTTCCGTTAAAAGGGGTTAAACAACAAAAAGAAAAATTATAATTAATTACCGGAAACATGATTCACAACTGAAAATTGTTCTCAAATTTGTTGATTGCATTAAAGTCCAAAATGTATAGAATTTTCATTAATAAAAATTGATTAAAAAAACTTATTTGCCTGTATTAATTAAATAATTAACAATTGGCTCCAGGTGTTATCACTCCATAACCACCCCTTTGACTATCATTTACTCAGTAAAACTATTTTACTGAATACCAGGTGTGGGTCGTTATACAAACTTTCGACTCCGACTCCCAAACTATTTTTGCATTCATTTGAACGCATTGTTCAAATCCATTGCCTCCAAAACCCTTCAATATTCAAACAAATCATCAATTATTGCATTGATTAGAGATATTGCAGACAATAGGAAATATATTTTAGTAATAAATTTAGTCATAGATTCTGATAATATTCTGTTTGGTTTGCAATTAAATACATCTACTCTCTAAATATAGTTTGAATTGTATGCAAAAGAGTTGATTATAAGTGCCTATCAAACCATTTCATAAATTTTTGAAATGAAATACAGTTACGATAACATATTGCCGGTACTGTCTAACTATAAGTATATTTATGTCTACCTCAACATGAATTTGCAATTTATTACACAATTTCTGAAATACTTTCCAGAGAAGGGGTTTAGAGTCTATGGTTGCCTCACAATTATTGTGGCCATAAATTAGTTTAGATAAGTTGAACGTTCAAAATATCATACTTAAAACATTTATAGCTTTTAAAACTAAAAAGATTTTTAAAGTAATATTTTAACAACTTTATTTCAGATAACAATCTTAATTTGTATTATTGGTTCCCACGGTATAATTGTTAATTTTTAAACTTAGCTATTCATTCAAAATACATGTATAGTAAAAGTAACCTAACATTTATTTAATTAGAGAACATATATTTATAAGGCATGTCACCCGGGATATAGTCTCATTCATCCTTGAACTACACCTTACAGTTAGACTTAATACTTTGTATAACTATTTTATTTTGTCCAGATTAATCAAGTATAACATTCCGAAAACTCTTAAAACTTAAAATAGCTTTTTATTATGAATGTTAAACAAAATATAAAAATATAAAAGGAATTTAAACTAAGCCCATAAAATCTAATATGCCTGATAATACTGGTCTTAAGTTATACAATGCTATTAATACTTATTATGACTACAGTATTAATAGGAAGGTTAGGATAGTTATTAAAGAATTCATTTATTTAGTGTAGAAAAGTCTAGAAAAATCTATAGATCTATAAAACTTAATAAAACTTAAAATTTCATACTTTACGACCTATAGACAGTAAAAGTTGTGTGCGTTTGTCTTACAATTAGAAAATTTTAATTAAATATTAATGAAATGTTTAATTTAAATCATTTCATACATGAATCAGCATGAACCATATATCATTCTAAATATACCAGTATTATTGCTTCACAAATAACCATATGATCTTTAAAATGCTTTAAAAATTATTGTACAATTTTTAATATAAAATCATCAAGGCATACAATTTATTGTAAAATAACTTTATACAAACTGTATTATACTTTTTAGAAGTTTTAGTTTGTCATTTATAGGGAAAGTTATTTTAAAAAATACAAATTCATGCATGCAATTGGACCAATATAAGTTAATATACTTAATTCTAAACAAAAAACTTTAAAATTTAACTTATTCTACTAATATTTAATGTTAAGTCTGATTCTGGTACTAAATTTTAATAATCCAATATTCTGAACAGAATTCATGCAAGTACAGTAACTGTAAGTATGTGTTAGATATGAGATGGCAGTCAAACTTTTATTCATTTAAATAACAGATTAAAAGCTAATAAATTAAAGTTCGTTGGATTTGGCGAAGAGTTTCGGTTGAGAGCGCCGGTCGTGTGACAAAACTTAAATGTTTTCAATGATTAACTTTCCCACTATTCATACGTTAAAACGACATGAAAGATTAAAAAAATTCATAAAAAAGTAACATTGAAAACAACTTATTTATGTTATCTCTTGTGGACTAACATAAGTCTAACATAAACTTCAAGTATTAACTCATATTTCATAACTCATAAGACTATCAAAGATATGCGATAAGGATAAGCAAAATGTATTAATGAATATTAATTACTTAATACTGTACAGTAATGTACATAAGAAATATATTTAATAAGTACCGTATATGAGAGATAATTATGAAAAAATAATACAATTTTTAAATAAAACATTTGACATGAATTAATTTATTGCAATAAAAATACAAAACAAACAAAAATGGCGATAAATTAAATTAAAAATATAATTTATAGTAAAATGACCACAAAATGATGGTATGATTAGATGTGAAGCTCGTGAAACACTGGATTAACGCGACCTTTGGGTGGTTTCAAGTAATTGCGACAAATGGGACACATTGTCCTCACTTTCAGCGAGTTATTCAGACATTGTTTACAGAATACATGTCCGCATATCGTCGACACAAACTTCTCCTCCCTGGCCATCAGCGAAGACCTCTTCTCCAGACAAATGGCACAAAACAACTCATTGTCCTCCAGTTCATCGCACTTTCGTTTCAAACCATTGCATTCAGTACTCAATTCCATCACTTGATTCTCCAAAGAGTTCTTTGATATCAATTGGATCTGACTTTTAGTGCTTTCGCACAAAAGAGCTATGATTTTATCATTCCTCTCGTTTAGGCATATGTTTTGATTCCGATTGCGAATGCCATTCAAGAAGTTCCAGAAGATTTGCGACAATTCCGACTCAAATCTTATGATTAAATAGTTTTCCCTGAGATCTGCCAAAGAAGTGAATCGTTTGTTAAGATTTTGATTGAAAAGTCTTAAAATAGGATTCAATTTACCGGTTGAGTGGACATTAAACGCTCGCTTATCCTCATTGTTGCCAATCTTCAGGAAATGCTCAACTGCTTGACAGA